TTCTAGCTCAAACTAACGAGCTAGTGTAGACATACCCTTAGTGAGCAGTGACAGTCTAGGAATGTAACTACTAAAACACGTATCAACCGAAGACCATTACATCGACTACTTTTTTGTTTTGGCTGCCACCCTTGGGCCACATGTTGAGCCCCATGTAAATCCAAACTGCATGGAGGGCTGCAAGCAAGCGGGCTGTGGGCTGCATGCGGCCCACAAGCCACATGTTGAGTTGCTCTGGTCTATTCCCATAGCAATCAAACCAGTGCCACATACCTACTTGATATTCCCCACTGTTCATACATCCAAGCATCATTTTTAGAGCTCATGTCAGCTGATTATCCACCAGACCTGCAAATCTCTTTCAGCGTCCCTGCTTCCCAACATAGTTTCCCATCTTGTAAGTATGGCCTATGTTCTTTTTTTCCTAGATTTATGACTTTACATTTGATCATATTGAAACATACATTGTTTGCTTGGGCCCAGTTTTACCAAGTGATCCAAATCCCTCTGCATCAGTTACCTTTCCTCTTCAGTACTTACCAGTCTCACAATCTTTGTCGTCTGTAAAATTTATCAGTTGTGGTTTTATTTCTTCTAAGTTATTGATAAAAGAGTTAAATAGACTAGCAACAGGAACAGGTCCCCTTTGGATCCCACTAAAAACATACCTACTCAATTATGATGTCTCAGAGATCTGTACATTTAATTTGTGCCGTAAGTTGATTTTTGTATCCTTCGAGTTTGTTAATCAAAATGTCATTAGTTGCCAAGTCAAATACACTTACAGTTCTGTAAGGTATCACATTAACACTGTTTTCTTTATCTACCAAATATGTAATCCCATAAAAATCATGTTAGTTTGATAGGGTTTACTATCCATAAAACCATGTTTATTAGCTTTAATTTTAGTGCCCTCATTTTTTTTATTAATAGAGTCCTGAATCAGTCACTGCCTTATCTTGCCTGGGATCGATGTCAGACTGACAGGTCTATAATTACCCAGGTCACCCTGCTTACTCTTGGCATATTAGCCTTTTTCCAGCCTTTTTCCAAGATTCACTGGAAGTCAACATTAATAGTCTACCTAACTCTTGATCTGATCTTTTAAAACCCTTGTTACAAGTCATCTGGACCTGCTGATGTAAAATGTCTAACTTTATTAACTGGTATTTAACATCATCCTTAGTTACTGTTGGAATGATAGGAATGATAAGGCTACATCATCTGGCTTTCTTCCAAATACAAAGCAGAAATATTTACTAAATACTACTGCCTTCTCTGAATCAGTTCTGCCATTTCTGTCTTGTATGGATCAAATTCATTTGTTAGAATTCCTTTTGTTCCTAATGTACTTATTAAAACACATGATTTTCCTTAAGTTTTTCATTTAATCTTTTTTAACAATTCTTAGCTTCTGCATTATATTTGTTGCTATCGGCTTCCCCTTTCTTCTAATATTTTTGCATTTTTATAGCTTCCTTTACTTGCCCTCTAACCCAGGCTGGTTTATTAACCAATCTAGCCTTCTATCTCAATTGTGGTTTTGGAGGAATTGAATAAAATGTCCTTAATAAGTACCCACTTATTGTTTGCATTTTTCTGTATAAATTCTTCCTCATAATTGATTTTATGTGTGTGTGTATATATATGGATAATCAACTCCTAAATCACTGGTACCTAATTTGCCTCTAATTTTTATTTCTGTGACCAATTCTTCCTTATCTGTCAACATGAGAGCTAATATAGATAGAATCCATCCATTTTAGGGGGTCACACTATTTGAGTTAGGAAATTGTAATATATAATTGTTTGAAATTCCAAGCTCTTTGTAATTCTGATTGCATGAGACCTCTGCCTTAGGATGCTCAAGTTGAATTCCCTTTGGTGTATGAGCATGTGTGTGAAAGTTTTGGTGATCTGTAGAAGACACCTACTAGTTCCCCAGCTTGTGCTTTCTCTATTAAGACATTTACCCATCATTATTCAAGAACATTTGCTTCTGAGTTGTTGGTGATGAGTAAAAAATGTTTTGGTGGAGTGTGCCATTCCTCGTCTCCTTTTCTCCACACTCAGTCCTGCCAAAATAGATTTAACCGATTGATTTTTAACGTTCTAGCCATGCCACTCATCCCATCAGGTCTCAGTAATACCTGCTAGGTAAAATTTATGCTCACAACTGATCAATTCCAGTTCCTCTTGTTTATTACTACTTGTTTAGGTTACTAACACTGATGAATAAGCAATTAAAGTATTTCCTCTCTTCATGACCCTTGGTGTCACAGCTAATGAAGTACTAAGTTTGGATTTACTGCCACGGAAAACAGGATAGGGCGTTCGGCAGCATTCTAGGTACCAAGCATATGTTCCACTTCCATTGACATAAATGGTAAAATTCAGTTTGAGCCAGATTCTCAACTGCAGTCAAAGAATGCTCAGCAAGACTGATGGGGTGGAACAAACATGGATTTAAGAGAACTTTTCATTCTCCCAATCTTAGGGCTGATCTGGGCTGGAACAGCTTTGGACATAAATGAAAGCAGCCGTATTATGGCAGCTGCCAGAAGACCTGCTAAGGAGCTCAGGGGATGAATGAGTTTGCAGGAGATTGAGCAGAATTCCCTCACAGTCTATGGACATTTCAATTTCCACAAATCAGCCAATTCTAATTGGAAAAAAAAGTTGTATTAATTCTTTTCCAACTAGTCTTGTGTTCTGGCCCACTTTGTCCTATGTATGAATTTCAATGTGAGGGGATAGATAACTAGGAGGAAGGAAGGGGGGAGGGGGGGGAAGGAGAGGGAGAGAGTGTGGGTGGGAATTTCTGTATTAAAGCAGGTTCTCTCAAGGTATTTGGGTTGCCCATTCCATGATGTGATATACAGTCAGTCCCCGGGTTACATGGATCCGACTTACATTGGATCCCTAGTTACAAACGGGGTGAGGCAACCCCGCACTAGCTGCTTCCCCCCAGCAGACCAGGGAGACACGAAGCTAGCGCCCCTCCCCCAGCAGACCAGGGAGACGCGGAGCAGCTTTTCTCAGCAGACACCTCAGCTTGAGAATAAAGGACTGAGGGAAGTGAGGTGTGGGAGAATAAAACTGAGCTCTGGAGAAATGTTTGGCTAGAGTTTCCCCTACAATATGTACCAGTTCCGACTTACATACAAATTCAACTTAAGAACAAACCTACAGTCCCTATCTTGTACGTAACCCGGGGACTGCCTGTATTTCAAAATAACAGGCTGCTTATTTTGAAATCTATAATCCCATTTTCCTTGGGAAATAACGCTTATTTCAAAATGGCGCTAGTGTGGTTCCAGTGCCGCTATTTCGAAATAGCTCCTCCCCAGAGTTAATTCCTCCCTAGTGCTTCCAGGGGTTCTAAGTCAAGGAGCATGTGCACATTGACAGAGTCTGCCTCAGACTAATTTTGAGTCTTTCCCGTAGTGTGGACACGCTATTTCAATGGTGTTATTTTGGGAGTTATTAAATTGATTTTAGTTATTTCGAAACAGTTTTGCTAGTGCAGACATGCCCTTTGAGAACTACATGTTGGACCTCCCTGATCCGGCACCCTTGGGAGCTCATCGGTCCCGAATGAGAGATTTTGGTGAAGTAAGGATGGGTCATTTCTGGGCTCTCCCTGTCACCGTCCCACCCTCCTCCCCAGCCGTGGCCTTATTGCCAGCCTCCCAGCTGGCTTCCCACTGCCGCTGGCCCTTTTGTGTGCTGGGCTCCTTGCCCCACCGTGGCAGCCTTGCTATCACACAGCCCTACTACTGAGCTCCTGTCCTCGCAGGACAGACCCCCTACTGGGTTCCACATGTGCTGCCAGACAGCAGCCCTGCTTGGGCTTCAGCCTTGCTGGGCAGCTCCACTGCCTACCGGTCTCACTGGGCAGCTCCTTCGGATGGCAGCAGGGCTGCTGGGCTTTTTGCTGCACTGCCAGGCAGCTCCACTCCCAAGTTCCTGGCCCCACCACCAAGCAGCCCCACGGTTGGGCTCCTGGCACCCCAGGTCAGCCCCACTGCCTCCTACTCCTGCCACTCATCTACACCGCTGGGCTGCTGGGCTCCTGGTTGTGCTGGCAGGCTGCTCTACTGCCAGGCTCCCAGCCCTGCTGCCAGGCAGCACTACTGCCTCCTGGTCTTGTTGTGCAGTTTTGCTGCTGGACTGCAGCCCTGCTCTAAGCTTCAGCCCTGCTGCCTCCCAGTCGCTCTGCCTCCCGCCCCACAGTGTCACCACATGCTGCAGCTCTGATGCTGGGCTCCTGGTTTTGCTGCCACAGGGCAGCCCCACTTCTGGGCTCCAGCCCCACTGCAGGGCTCCCAGCCACCAGCCCTCCACGAGACTCTCTGGTCCTAGTACATCCCTGGGATGTTGCTGGACCAGAGTGTCCCGGATAAGAGAGGTTCAATCTGTACTACATCTTCTCATGCATTGGTTTTCAATCTGTAGTCCCTGGGCCTCAGGGGGGTCTATTCAAATTTTTTAGGGATCTTTAATGAAAAAGGTTAAGAATCACTGCTCTAATGGGATGGATCTAGCTGATGCTTATATGTATTTAAAAATAAAATTATTGAATTATTTTAAATTGTTTTAACTCCACTAGTTCTTCCAAACACACTAAAACAATCCAGTTTGCTGACAGTATTCTACTTCCTAAGGCATGGCCTCTTACATTACGAAATTTGGTATGAATAGCCAACCAAGCACTCCCTTCTGTAGAATATAAAAGGTATACAAAAAGGGTATAAAGAGTCTGCAAAATTTATCTTGTTTATTGTACACATCCCTAAATAAAATAACATATTTTTAAACTTCTTATGGGAAATGTAATTTTCCATGCAAACGTTGTAGTGGGAATGAGAGAGTTTTGTTTTCTCATTGCATTACTCACAACTATTTTCTGTTACAAACTGTGTTGCAAGTACAGATATAAGCAGCTATAGGTGAGATGATATTGACACCTAACCATGATATTGCATCTTATTAAACAGGTAATTCTCTAATGGATCAATGAAAACAAAACGATGACAAGTTGTGGTCAACAGTCCTTGAATGTGCTGATGGTTGTGTTCTTATTGCTCTTGTCAGCAGGTAATGCTTCTTCCAGAAATTTATTTTTATGTGAACTGGGAAAGGGGATGAATGAGTTAAAATGTCATCAAACCTAAATGCCTACAAAACTAATAGTCCCAGGGGGTAACACTAAGAGTTGAAACAAAAACTATGTGCAACTTAAACAAGAAAAGCAATACTATTTCATTTAGGAAAGTAATGCTAATTTTACATGAACAAGATCAGCCAGCTCAACATTTAACTTTCAACTTTAATAATAATTTTCTTTGCTATTTTGATTCTAAATAATCTATCAGTTCCTTAAAATGAGGGATTCACCACAATATGAATCAAACCGTTCTGCCAAGTGATCCAACTACTACAGACCTAGGAAGCAAGGCGGTATCATGTATTTTGACATTCTGACAAAAGAGGCCGTGTTTCTGTGTGTATGGCTCATGTTATCTTTGCACTCTGCCTGATCATATTATTCTGCTGCTATAATTAAGTTTACAAAATAGTTCCTACTATGATAATTACTTTTACAGGCTCATAACTTTCAGAAACTCAGTCTGAAGGTGATTTACTCTAGGCAAGTTTAAGTAGAAGCCAGTCAATTTTGTTCCTACTTTCTTGAGGGAGTAAAATGATGTCCATCCCATTTTAGAATACTCTAACTGCACTTTTGTAATGAGGAATACAGCAAATGTGGCAGACATTCATGTTACTTAATGTGATTTAAGAAGTTTGATAAGCATTATTGTCCCTATTTTGGAGATGGAGAAACAGAGGAACAAAGACATTGAGTGACTGACTTAAATTTACAGAGATAGTGGCAGAGTTAATAAATAACTGAAAGGCAGATAATGTGGGCAAACCAGAGTTAAATTTAGAACCTTTACTCTCCGCATTGTTTAGGTACACTGACAACCTTTAATTACATTATCATAAGTGACACCCAAATACACATGTCCACTTATATGTTGGCAAAAAAATATTATCCTCTATCTAAGCAACAGCACATTATCATATTAATAAAGACCATTTCTTATACATATGCATTGGGGATGGAGTTATGTTCGTACCATCAGCTATAATATTCACATTTACTGGCTTTTGAGGATTTTACTTTGCAACCTTAATGTTATACCTTCACTGTTCATAAAAATGGTTCCACTTTGTTTTGGCTGGAGGATAGATATTTATGTGTCACGCAAACATTTATCTTTAAACAAAAACAAATGTGTTAGGCTTGAATTTAATATGTTTAGTTTTTTCAGCCCTGACACTGTCTCTCTTGAGGGGAGGGGAAATGATGATATTTGTAAAGAAAAATGCCTTTGATTTGATCCCGTTTACATAGACATTCTGCATATTATATAAATTATTGATAAATACCAGGCACTATTCTAGCATTTTATTTTATTTGTTTATGCATGTGTACCTCTTCCTGTCTTAGCTCCTTTATTATTGTTGACATAGCTCATCAGCAGATAGGGTGCTTAGTGCTACGATGCAAAATGGGTGTTTAAAATGATAATGGAAGTTTTAATTTACATACCCCCAAGTGGGACTGTTAGAAATGTTTGATGCTGACTTACTGTAATTCTGTGCCTACTGAAGTCAGTGAGAGTTTTACACTGGGGTGGTATGCTAGCCAATACTGAGTGCGTTCAGAAAGTCTGTCCCCGGCCTTTACAAGGCATTAGCAGAATAGAGAATGTTTTCTTGGCCTCCTTTTACATAAATGGCAGGTTTCCTGAAACAACGGGAGAATGTTAATTTTTTAGCAGGATCAAAATAACAATAGTCCATAGTAACTTTGTTGATAGCCATAGTAATTACACTGTAACAGATGTTTATCTGATCAGCTCTCATATATGTGCAATGTATGTGCAGTTTGTCCCAGAGTCTATAAAGGGAGACTAGTGGCAGAACATAATTTGAATGAAAGAACTACAGAATGCTGCTTTTTTACTACAATTGTATTCATTTCAAGCTTAAGGAGGATTTAAAGGAAACCTAATAGAAAGATTTCTAGGTAAGATAGTTCCTTATTTCAAGCACCACGAACTATTAAAAAGTAGAATTGGAAAGTATAAAAAACAAGGATATTTGAAGATCATATTTAAGCGCACTGTTTCTGATCACAGCCACCAGGCATGGGTAACAAAGTCTGGGATGACAATGAACTGGTAAGTCCCAGGTATACAGTGCAGCAGTTTTGGGTACATTGTTTCTGGAGAGCCAGGCTAGCAGGGAAGCAGCAACAGTGGAGGAACAGCTGGATAGCTGAGATAACAAGGGATGGACAGAAGAATCAGAAGAGCATAGAACTTCATTGTGCAGCTTCAGCTGTATTAGCTGGCCTAGGAAAGGAGATGCAGGGCCTGCCAGCAGGCAGAAAGATGTCTGAGGCCAGATTTATATTAGACCTGCAAGATCAGCTTAACGTACACAATGCTAACTATATAAATAACATGGCTGGAGTCAACATACCTTAAACCGAGCTTGGCACCATCTTCACAGCGGGAGGCCAATAGGAGCAAATGCTCCCATCAGCTTCCCTGACTCCATGCAACTGCAAGGAGTACCAATGCCAACCTGAGGGCACCCTCAACATTTGAGTTAGCGGATCTTTACTAGACCCGCTAAATCAAATGTCAGAATCTCCAGTGTATAGGTATAACGATGTCCTGAGCAGGAGTAGGAGGAAATAGGAATGAAAAGGAAGGCCTAAGTAGGGTGGCCAGGTGTCGGGTATTCACCTGGACAGTCTGGTATTTTCGCCTCCTGTCTGGTAAAAAAATTCAGAGAATACTGGACACCTGAGTACTGGGTACACCTGAGATGCCACCCAAATTCCCCCCCCCCCCCCAATCCCCCAACCCCCCCCCCCCCAATCCCCCCAGCCCCTCGACTCCAGCCTCTATGCTTACCTAGTTCCCCAAGGCTGCCGGCACAAAATGGCTGCCAGCCAAAAGACCTAGGGGAAGCAATACTTCCCTTGGGATTTAGTGCTCAACCGCTCCCCTGTTCCTATCCCTGCACTCACTCTTAAAGGGTGGACATGCTGTTTTAATGCTATTTTATTTTAATTTTTTTTGGCTGTGCGCGCGCGCGCGTGCGCGCGCGCTCAACAGCTTTGGTCTCCCCCTTTTTTTTTCCCTTCAACAGAATTTTTTCCGGTGGTTTTTTTTGGGGGGGGGGGGGTTCAGTATTTTTGTTTCAACCATTTGGCAACCCTACGTCTAAGGTGAAGACAGGCAGGCCAAAAATCTGCTAAAAAAAGGTGGGGTAGCAAAATAGGAATGTTGCAACTAGGGCTGGTCAGGAATTTTTTGTAACAAATATTTTTTTGTCATGAAATTCCAGTTCATTAAACTTAGGGCTGTCAAATGATTTAAAAAGTTACAAATGTAGAATAATGTACAAAAAATAACCGCATTCAAAAATTAAACAATGTAAAATTTAAGAGCCCACAAGTCTACACAGTCCTACTTCTTGTTCAGCAAGTGGCTCAGACAAATGGCTCAGACAAAATAAATTGGTTTACATTTGCAGGAGACAGTGCTGCCTGCTTCTTGTTCACAATGTTACCTGAGAGTGAGAACAGGCATTCACTTGGCACTGTTGTAGCCTGTGTAACAAGATATTTACATGCCGGTTGCAGATTCATATTTCTGTTCATGCTTCAGCCACCATTCCAGAGGACACATATCCATGCTGGTTATGGCTTCTGCCTGGTAATAATCCAAAGCAGTGTGGACTGATGCATGTTCATTTTCATCGTCTGAGTCAGATGCTACCAGCAGAAGGTTGATTTTCTTTTTTGATGGTTTGGATTCTGTGTTTCTGCAACATGTTGCACTTTTAAGACTTCTGTAAGCATGCTCCACACCTCATCCCTCGCAGATTTTGGACGGCACTTCAGATTCTTAAACCTTGGGTCAAGTGCTGTAGCTATCTTTAGAAATCTCAAATGGATACTATCTTTGTGCTTTGTCAAATCTGCAGCAATGTTACAGTGTTCTTAAAACAAACATGTGCTGAGACATCATCCAAGACTACTATAATATGAAATATATGGCAGAATGCAGGTAAAACAGAGCTGAAGAAGTACAGTTCTCCCCCAAAGAATTCAGTCACAAATTTAATTAATGCATTTTTATAACGAGCGCCAGAAGCATGGCTTTTGGAATAGTGGCAAAAGCATGAAGAAGAAAATGAATATTTATCATATCTGGCATGTAATGCAGGCTACAAAAGTCCCATGTAAATGCTTATTCTCATTTTCTGGTGACATTGTTAAAAAGAAGCAGTAAGCATTATTTCCTGTAAATGTAAACAAATGTGTTTGTTTTAGGGATTGACTGAGCATGAAGTAGGACTGAGTGGACTTATGGGCTGTAATGTTTTGTATTTGAGTGCACTTTTGCAATACTTGTATGATTGCATTACAATATTTGTATGAGGTGAGCTGAAAATACTATTACTTTTATCATTTTACGGTACAAGATTTATAATCAATTTTTAGTCTCAAAGGAGAAACAGCAGCTTAGTTTCTTCATCATCACTTCATGGTTTGGTACTCTTCTCTGTCTGACAGTGGTAACAGACTCCACAAACCTTAGCCTGCTCCATCCTAGCTCTTGCTCCAACTCTGTTCTGACTCTTAATTCCAGCTCTGACCCCCTGGTTCCAACCATTAGGTTCAACTGCCACAGCTCTAACCACTAGGCATGATCTCCCCAACATGGTTTCTGACACACAACCACTGGGCTAGTGGCTCTTTGGAAGGGGGACAGGGACACTCATGTTATTTTTGTGAAAATTTTGAAAGGTGTTGGTTTCATTCTGATGTAGGATGAAAACAAATTTTGAAAACTTGACATTTTTCCCTAAGTAGAATTCTTGAATGCCAGCTCTCATGGCAACCTTTTGATCAATAAGATTGATCTGGAATTAAGACTGTGATGGAGAGAGAACAAAAAGATAAAAAAAATTCAGGACTTATTGGTACTCATTTGATATGGCTGTACAAATAACTCACAATAAAGGAAGCCATGCATGCATGCTGCAAAGAATATCTGTCCTGACTGCTTTAACTCCTAAGCATGTAGTTTGCTTCTTTTGAAACTCATTAAGTTTCAAATTAAGTTTCAGATTAAGTTAGGGATGATAGTGAATTTCATATTAACATACACAAATTAGCTTTTTTTCACTTCACAATCATTTTCTTTTATATTTTAAAGGGATCTTGTTTATGCTTAAACAATCACAGGATATCAAGTGAATGAAGTATATTTTGTTACATTATTTGCCTCTGGCTGAAAGCATCGATGTTCAAAACAAACCTAATAAAATACTTTGACACTAACTTGGTACTAAACTTATAGCAATGTTTTACAGAGCTAGGTAGCAAAGTCCATGGAAGTAGCCTTACAGTGGTCAGACATTTTAGTTACACTGACTGCTTATTTTTCTGAACATATTGCAGGTAAACCCTGAAAGACCAGCATAAATCAAACATTCAAAGCTTGAAAGTCTATTCTGCTCTAGAAATGTGCATGCACAGAGATAGGAGGATATAGCCTCCTTGAGTTATTAGTATTAAATTTCAAAGATGGATTGGAGATTTACATATGCTGCTCCACTCCAGAAAAAGTATGTTATGCCTTTCATCTTGGCAAGAAGTAACTTAAACATTTCAATAAAATGACAGGAATAGAGAATGTTAATTGGATCTTCATATAGAACTCTCATATAATACATAACAAGGAGAAGATCAATAAAATTGAAAAGTGACCAATGTAAAATTAATGAGAACATTTTTAAGCATACACCATTAAATATTAATTAATTTTTGGAACTCACTGTATAAGATATTATTCATTATAAGAGCTCAATCTGTTTGAAAGAAAAGCGATTCATATGTTTATAAATAGTGATAACATTTGCAGTTGCAGATTAGATAAGTAATTTAGTTGCAGTTAGGTAGTTACATAGGCAATATGCAGTTGCATATTAGATCGATATAAAAAATTCTGCTTTAGTACATAAACTAATCAGTAACTGATGTGAACGAGGAAGAAATTTCACTTTTCTGAAGGTTATTCCATACTTTTCTGCTATGGTATTTCTTGCATCTTTATTTTGGAGTATTTGAAACTGAACACTATCAAAGAAAGGATATAGGATTAGATAGATTGCAGATCTGCTTAAGTTCAGTATTCCTAGTGTTCCTAAATATTAAAAGTATTTAACTGTCAAGTTTGTTGTTATGCCTCTGTGCATTTTTGAGGGATGGATATCTGCAGGAGCAGCCCTATAAATCAGGTACTTACTGAAGTGCCTAAGTATGGATTTAGAAACCTAACTTTAGAGATAGACATTGGAAACTTTAGTCCATGGTCACAAAGAAAGCCAATGGCAGGTCTGGACACAGAACTCAGAACTAAAGTTGTTCAGGAATTTTTCCATCAATGTTTTCTTGATAGAAAATGCAGTTTCTGCAAAATTGAAGTTTTCCATGGAAAATATGTTTCAATCTTCTGTCAAGAAAGTTTAGGTGCAATATTTCATCTCAGTTCGACACAAATCAAAACATTTCAGTTTGCCATTATTCTATGTCTGCTTCAGCTGCTGCAGTGTCTTATGGGAGTTGTAGTTTGGGTGCCTGTGCCCCCAATCTTTTCCATGGGCCAGGTTCCCTGGCAGGACTAAGTTTCCCTGTGATGCACTACAATCTCCTTTCTGGTTGAATCAATGTGTTGCATCTCAGGACATGTAGTCCAGCTGGGTAGCCCATCACATATAGGAGAACGTGAGCATGATACACTCAAACTACAGTTCCTGTGAAGCACCCTGGCTACTCAGTCAGATTAATGTTGATGTGTAAACTGAAATTAAATGTTTTTATTCAGTTCAATAAACCAAGAAGAAATATTGTGGTAAGTTAGTGTCAAAACATTTCACTTAGATTAAAAGTGTCTACATTACATTTTTCTAGTTGAAATTTTCCAGAACTTTCAAGTCCATGAATTGTCTATAGGATGTCAATTCTGGGTTTTGACCAGCTCTACTCGATCTCTGAGTTCCAAAGCTGTGGCCTTAATCATCAGATGACCTATCTTTCCTGGTAGTAGATAATAGAAAATGAGTTAATGTTAAGATTGAAATGCACTCCTTTTTCTTTAATTCCCATTGGCACCTAATTCACTCAGGAGTTGTCTACAGCTTAATATACTCTGGTTTAGTTAAACTGGTGTAAATCTTTCTTTCTGCACTCTATATTAGTAAACTGATAACAATACTAAAAATAATAATAGTAATAATGAAATCACCCCCTATCTCTCATATAGAGCTTTTCAACAGAAGAACTCAAAGCGGTTTAACAAAAACGTCAAAATTGTTATTCCAATTTTCAAACAGCTAAAAAGACATGAGCATCAATGCACAAAGTTAGACCAGTTAACTACATCAGTTTAAAATACCATTGTAATTAATTGGTGCAGCTTTTTTGTATGGGTAATCAATGTCTGTCTCAGTTCTATAAAGTCAGAATAAAAATACATGATTTCTCCCATGCTTTGTCTGTTGTGTCTATTTAGACTATAAGGACCCTTAGGCGTGCAGAGCAGCTAGCCACTTGAGAGCAGTCCCATGTGTCTTTAAGCGGCAGGCTGATCCCTGTGACTCTCTGCTCTGAGTGCCAGGAGGAGGGGGAGGCTTTGCAGAAACCAGCTAATGGGAGCTCATTTTGCTGCGGGCTGGGGCAGCATGCAACGCCTCCCTCTCCCCCAGTGCCCGGAGTGGAGAGCCACAGGGAGCAGCCATTTTGAGTAGCCTGGAGCCTAGGTAAGTATCTCTCAGCCACAGCCTACCTCTGGCACTCCAGCCTCTCCTTCCACCCAACTCCTTGCTCCAGGTCACCATCCAAACCCTCGGCACCCTCCCCTGGACACAACTCCCTCCCAGGCCCTATATCTCCTCCTATAGCCCTCCCCCAGGCCAGAATCCTCTCCTGCACACATACCTCCTCCCAGACCTTACCCCCCAAACCCTTTCCCCAGATCACAAACTCCTTCTTCACCCACACTCCCTCTCAGACCCTGCACCCCATCCTGCACTCCAGTCGCTTACCCCGAGCTCCCTTCTGCACCCAACTTCCATCTCAGACCCTGCACTTCCTCCATAGGAAAGTGCAGCCCTTAAGCACTTAAAATCTTGGAGTGGCTCCCCGCCAAAAATTATTGCCCACCCTGGCCTTAAGGTCCTCAAGGGTAGAGACTTGTGTGTGTAATCTGAGATGTGGCTTCAAGGCACTACCATAATATAAATCCTATATAAATTAAAGTAGTGTGAGAACTGACAGTCTGCAAACTCCTACAAGGCATATGAACTATTATACAACAATTAGCCTAGAGCCCAAATTCTGGGAAAATATACAGAGATGATTTATTTCTTTCAAGAGAATTGACCAGCACAATCAGTATAACATAAACCTGGAAAATGGTTTAAAAGACATAATACATCCTTTATATGAGTATTTAATTTCTTTAAAAAATTAAGATCTGAACAATAATTGTGTTTTTATTGCTCTTGTTCTAGTTATTTATATATTCACAATTGTTAATTCTGTTAGCATGGTAATATCTTTTCATAATTATTTTTGGAAGATCAGTGCTTTTCAAAATAATGACCTTTACAGCGGAGCAGATATTTCTGACACATTAACAACAGCAACTGTAAATCATGTGCTTTTGGATTCTTTTTTCAGTTTTCATGTATGGTTTTTTCTTTACAGATAATGAAATCACCCCAGAAAAAATCTTAAACTCATTTTTCTAGATCTTTGCTAATATCCCATAGTTTTAAAAAACAACCAATAGTCTAGTAGCACCTTAAAGACTAACAAAACATGTAGATGGTATCATGAGCTTTCCTGGGCACAACTCACTCCTTCAGATGACAGGAGTATTGAAAGGAAAAAAATGGTGGGGAAGAAGAAAAAAGTCTAAGCTTATCTACTTACTGTCTCTTTTTTTCTTCCTCCCCTCCATTTTTTCCCTTCTCTTCCTCCTTCCTTTATTTATTCTTGGATCTGGACTTTCAACACTCTAGTCATCTTAAGAAGTTGGTTGTGCTCACAAAAGCTCATGATACCATCTACATGTTTTGTTAGTCTTTAAGGTGCTACTAGACTATTGATTGTTCTTTAAGTCTTTCCTGTTACGGACTAACTCGGATACCCCTCTGGAACCATAGTTTTAAAACAGCCTAATTGAAGCTATGTATTTAAATATTTTAGTCTCTCTGCCATCCAAGACTGGGGTAGTGACAGAAAGCATTTCTTCTCTACTGTTTAAAAAAATTAATTGAAATTTAAAAAAATCAGAAACATCATAACCCAAAACTGAAAATATCACAAAAATGCTTTTCATGCTTTTAGTAGTTGTATCAAATATTATGAGATTGAAACTCCTGAAATATATGATTACTGTTTCTCAGAAGCCAGGGGAAAACTGATTAAGACTAACAGAAAAATGAAAATGTACGTGTCATGCAACTAACACATATGAATCACAAAGATATCAATCTTTGTTTTACAGCATTGTCTGCACATTTTCGCGTCTGTGAGCCATATACAGACTACAAAGGCCGCTACCACTTTGGTTTTCACTGCCCACGTCTTTCTGACAATAAATCTTACATCTTCTGCTGTCACCATAACAACACAGTATTTAAATACTGCTGCAATGAGACGGAATTTCAGACTGTTATGCAGATGAACCTAACGGGAAATGCAGATGGATATATGCATAAGTAAGTAAATGAGCTATAAAGTACTCTTTACCAAATTATTCCTAGTCTAATCACATAATCTAAGATGTTTAATGATGGAAGCAATTAGAATAATTGTACATACACAGAAATGTTCCTAGAAGCTCTTCTGTACAAGACTATTTTTCATGATGGGGATGTTTACCGTTGCTTGTATAGCCTTGATGCCCATTATATAAATTCCTAACAGCATGTATGTAATTTTTATAAACAAATATGCTGTTTCCTTCCCAAAATGGTCAAACCTGTGTTTAAGTGTGTATCTGTATAACGAAAACCCGAACAAGTGATAGCAAGAGAAAGGCAAGCTGACATTTTTCAGATCAACCCAAATGTTTTGCATGGGTAATTGCTATTTTGAATTTGTTCATGTTTTGCATATTAATGACTTGCAATCACTGAGCAAAATGCACTTGGTTATTTAATCTCCCTGTCTGCTGCTTGAGAACTTTTTTTCACATTTTTTTTAAAAGCAGCTATAGAAACAAACATAGACAATAAGAACCCGGGGAGAAAACCTGACAAGATAGTAAGTAGGTCCTGAGTTATGAACTGCATATGCTGTGTGGGCAGGACTGTCTGCTCCAGACTGGCTCCTTTGCACTACTCAAGCATTCTCACAAAGATTGAATTCTCATGATGAAGGGTGGAGCTCTTATCTGAGGTAAAGCTGGCAGAGCTAACTGCTGAGATAACTTGTCCCTACCCCATTCTGGTGAAGGGACAATGTCAAAAGAGTGATACGCCAAAAACTGTTCATTACCTCCACATTTGTTATTACTTTGGAGATAAACTTGCAAAGCATCGTGTGGTATTCATTCATGGGTTGTTTATTGATGTTGCCAACTTCACATTTTTTTAGTTTATTTTGGATTACTTAGGCAATTTAGCTGAAGTGTGCTTTAGCATGTTGTTTATGAACAGTGATCAAAAGAGAGAAATTGGTAGCATCTGAGAGAAAAGGTAGTTTGGTGTCCTGTTGGCAAACTAATTTTGTTTTCATAGCTTTATAGGAAGGGTGCCTAGAGTCTTCAATAAGCACCACTATTTATATATCTGTCAATAATAATGAACGAGTCATTCACATTAGCTTGGAAAAGTTTTACTTCCATATTCCTAACAGGTGAAATTCACCCAGTGCCAAGAACCAGCAAAAAGGCAATGAATCACTGAAGTCCTATTTTCAGGTTTGGATGGGACTATTATCAGGTTTGTGTGCATAAGTTCTGTGCTGGCAATCTGCATGGGATAAATTGTACTCTATATGTGTAAAATCATGAACAGAAGGAGATTTTTTTTTAAAAGTCCTAGGCCCATTACTTTAGCACTGCAGCATCTGAGCCAGTCTTCCCTCCCTAGAAGCCTTCTGGGCCATCAGAAATGTGAAGGGATATAGATCAGGATCAGAAAAAGGAGTGGAAGGTAGAGATCTATGTGCAATCTTGAGAATTCTTGGTCACATATCCAATGTGGTTCTCCCAGGCAAAAATAACAAAGCCAATTCCCACACATGCGGTCAGACCATGTAGAGGCAGTTAAACAGCATTAATTAATCTCTCCCTCCTCCCCTTTTTTAATGTGGCCTTAATCCAAGTAGAGGAAAAATAATTATTGCTTTATAGCAGTAACTCTTCAGCTCTTCTTCCCAATCCCTGCCACTCCTGCTTCAGCCATGTACATTTTTGTGGAGTAAAATAATGACAGTATGTAGAAGGGGGAAGGAGAATCCCATATCACTACTTCTTCCATCCACATACAGTTTCATTACTTTTCCTACAGGATTTTCCCTCCATTCTATATATATAATCTGTCCCAAAGACCACTGATTCACTAGGGTTACAAGGTTTATCCACAAAAATGGCCTTTTTTGCTCAAAAACCTGCGGAGTGTCCATATCTCAAATGCACTTTTGTGCGAGTAAATCAGCAGTAAAATGGCAGAACAGAGAACTTTTGCCAGTGTAGGTAAACCTCCTTCTACGACACATAACTCCCTTTTGCGTTACAGCTATTGCGCAAAAAGGCAAGTGTAGATGCTCCTATGAGAAAAAGCACAGGTGCTTTGATGGCCATTCTGTGAATGGCCATCAGAGCTTTCTTGCGCAAGAGCATCCAGACAGTGTGGACGCTCTCTTGCACAAAAGCACATCACTTTGAGGTGTGGACGTGCTATTGTGCAAGAAGTTTTTGCACAAAATCTCTTGCGCAAGAAGCCTACATTGTAGATGGAGCCTGGGAGTCTTTCTAATAACTTAAAAGAGCTTTTGATCAGGACCATAGTGAAGGTATAGCACAGGATATGTCTACCCACAGCTGGGAGTGAGCCTCTAGTAGCCAGTATGCTAAAAGTAGCAGTCAAGGCATTGGGTGAGCTAAGAGCCTGATCCACAACATCCACACTGCTGTCTGTCTGCCTGCCCAGACTGAGGCCTAGTCAACATTCAGGTTTCACTAGTTATAGCTACATTGCTCAAGGGTGTGAAAAATCCACACTCCTGGGAGTCGTAGTACAGCAATTCCTCATTTAACACTATAGATATGTTTCAGAAAATGATCGTGTTAAGTGAAAATGTGTTATGCTGGTCAATTTTCCGATTGAAAATAATGGAAAAGGTGGGGGTCGCATTTCAAGCGGTGGTGTCTGTTGGGACCGGGACATAAGGTTGGGGGAGAAAGGAAACTGGGTTACAGCAGGGAGAGGAGGCTCTGGGGAAGGGGAGGACCGGGGAGAGGGATTGGGTTGGGAGTATGCCCCTGTGATGGGTCTGCTGGGACCCGCACTGTGTCTGGCGAGGGAGAGTCAGCGGGGAACGGCGCAGCCAGTGGATAACCCTCCACTGCTTTGCAGGGAGGCGGGGGAAGCCCCACGCAGCCACCGGCGATGGGCTGGCTGGAACCCAGTTGCCGGCCTGCAAGCAGGGGCGGAGGAGAGGGGGCAAAAGGGGGAGTTAGTGGGGAACAGCGAGTCCGGTGAGGGGGAGTTAGCGGGGAACGGCACAGAGAGTGGCAAACCCTCCCCGCTTTGCAGGGAGGCGGGGGAAGCCCTGCGCAGCCACCAGCAATGGGCCGGCTGGGGAAATCGTGTTATTCCGGGGATGGTCGTGTAATTCAAAAAACATTCCCTAAAAAAAAATCGTGCTATCGCGAAAACGTGTTAAGCGGGCATGTGTTAAATGAGGAATTACTGTATAACAACAGAACCCCGAGTGTAGACAGTGCTAAGTCAATGGAAGAATTCTTCTGTCGCCTTAGGAGAGACCACCTTTTGGAGAGAATGGTTTTCCCACTGGCACCAGTAGTATCTAACCTGAAGCACAATAGCTACAGTGCTGCAGCTGTGCTGCTGTAGCATTTTGAGGATAAATGAGCCCTGTCAGCTGCATACCCATAGGAAACTGTAAGATTAAACAGTGTTCTGGTCAGCATTTTTTGGACTCTAATGTAGGTAGAGCCCAATTTACAAATAATCTACCCTGTCATCAATGCCCTCCATTAAATGAAAGGCAGCTATGAAAAGGATTGTTTATGTACATGTAATTTCACACACCATTGAAAAAAGGCTCTTATAAAACCTGGTGTCCTCCATAACTGTGGAGAATAAGGGCATGAAGGGCGATGAACTTACAGCTGAGGATTGTGGTTTTAAAAAAATTTTTTTACTATGTTACCTTTTGCTTTATTTTCCTTCCTCTCCATTCTTATTGCCATCAAAAGGCATTTTTTGTTTTATAGTACAATTGTAGAAGAAACTAATACAAATATAGTGAATTGGAGCTCTTCTAATAACATTCCAGAAGCTTATATCTCTCTTCTAATGTTGCATCATATAATGAGAGCCAGGTTTATTTACATTTGTTCTATTACCATAAAGATTAATACATTTTGGTAGGTGCAGAATATTGGGCTACTTGTCTATGCAATCAAAAGATTTATCCAGACTAATAGCTATTAATATAAACTGATCAGAAAATGATTTTGAGATGTGGCAACAGCAAATTCTATCATTTAAATAGCTTCTGCATTTGGAAAATCCTGCTTTTAGACCAGAACATCTACTAATGATTTGCATTCACTCTGAGTATCTGGTCACTTTTATTTGCATGGTCAAGATTCCCATCTGCAGAAATTAAGATGTACAGCACATATGAGAGTATCTTCTAATGAGACAGAGGATTCATTATCCCAATTAAGAGAAGATGCCATTTCAAAGGGCTTAAGATAAAATACTGGACTTGTATTTGCTGCTTATTTCTACTTCCTTTCATATTCAGCAGCTTTGCTACTAAAAGAATCAGAGCTCAGAAATATGACAATTTTTAAACTTATGCCACTACTCATAGTGTCCCAGCTAAACAGTAGAAGTTATTACCATTCTCTCCCATGGAGAAATCCGTAGGAGGGAGAATCTTCCCTAGAAAACTGCAGATTTGACTGAATGGTGTTCCAATGAGTTTTCTGTACATCACCCTTTCAGGGGAAAGAGATTGCAAGCCTAGGGAATGAGAAGGGAGTTTCTGTCCTCTGGCCATGAACATCTCATAAAATAAATAGGGATAATCCCAGAGATCTCTAGGTATAAACATGGAGAGCTAGACCCACCCCCATTATTTCTGGGTCACCTTGTCCTGGCAGCTTGGGTTACACAGGAACTGTGCTGCCATTGGATCCCTAACATTCTTCCTGACTATCTATTCAGAAATTCAAAATCTAAATTAGAGCTCAGGAAATAATGAATTTCTCAATTCTGAGGTGGAACAGATTAAAAAAATCCAGTTTCACTTGAACCAAAACCAATGTTTGCAACAATTTTCATCATATCAGAAGATTAAAAAAGAAAGGGGAAAAAAAAGAAAAAACAGTTTCCAATTGACAAACATTTCAGGTTCACTCAATGAAATTTTTGAGGTTTTTCTTTATTTGTTTTAAGTTAACCAAAATGCTTGAGTCAACTCTAAACAAGCTTCTTTTTTTAAAGTTTAGTTT